TCGGTCGATCGCTAGGTAGGTGGTAGGTAGGTAGGTAGCTAGCTAGGTAGGTAGGTGGTAGCTAGGTAGGTAGCTAGGTAGGTAGGTAGGTAGCTAGGTAGGTAGCTAGCTAGGTAGCTAGCTAGCTAGGTAGGTAGCTAGGTAGGTAGGTAGCTAGGTAGCTAGGTAGGTAGGATCGGTCGGGTCGCTAGGTAGGTAGGTAGGTAGGTAGCTAGCTAGGTAGGTAGGTAGGTAGCTAGGTAGGGTAGCTAGGTAGGTAGGTAGGTAGCTAGGTAGTGTAGGTAGGTAGCTAGGTAGGTAGGTAGGTAGGTAGGAGTGTCGGGTCGCTAGGTAGGTAGGTAGGTAGGTAGCTAGCTAGGTAGGTAGGTAGGTAGGTAGCTAGGTAGGTAGGTAGGTAGGTTAGCTAGGTAGGTAGCTAGGTAGGTAGCTAGCTAGGTAGCTAGGTAGGGTAGCTAGGTAGGTAGCTAGCCTAGGTAGGTAGCTAGGTAGGTAGGTAGCTAGGTAGCTAGGTAGGTAGGTAGGTAGCTAGGTAGGTAGGTAGCTAGGTAGGTAGCTAGGTAGGTAGCTAGGTCGGTAGGTAGGTAGGTAGCTAGGTCGGTAGGTAGGTAGCTAGCTAGCTAGGTAGGTAGGTAGCTAGCTAGCTAGGTAGGTAGGTAGCTAGGTAGGTAGCTAGGTAGGTAGGTAGCTAGGTAGGTAGCTAGGTAGGTAGGTAGCTAGGTAGGTAGGTAGGTAGGTAGGTAGCTAGGTAGGTAGCTAGGTAGGTAGAGTGAGTGTGTTCAGACATAACATGAAAAATACTTAGAAAGTGGAACAGAGAATTTACAACAAACATTTAAATTAGTGAAATAAACACAACTTGTTTATTAATTACAGACACTTTATTTACCTTACACACATTTATACTTTCAATATGTTTTATTGAACATGTGAACAAACAGAATGTTTATCTAGGCGTTGTGTATCCAGTCTCTTTAATCCTCTCGTTCATCACCATGTCTGAGAACCAGATGTTATGGAAAAAGAGCAGATCAATAACTCTGAAGTAACGTGTTGTCCCTGAGAGGAGCTTTGATGGTGTTTGTAAAGATCCTTCATTTCACTACATCTTTCTTTCTTTACTTAAAACATGAAGCCTCATTAGAGCCCAAAGCTACACTTGTAATACCTTGTGTGCGTTTAACCCCAAAGGATGAACTTAAGGTACAAACAGCTGCTTCTGGAGCTTATCTGTATGTTTAAGGCTTTGAAAAGCGGTGTTTCTGAGGTTAGTCTCTACTCTCTCTCTCCTCAGCGTCCGTCAGAGAGACGTCAGAGACTCAGAGAGACGTCAGAGACTCAGAGAGACGTGAGAGACTCAGAGAGACGTCAGAGACTCAGAGAGACGTCAGAGAGACGGCAGAGACTCAGAGACTCAGAGAGACGTCAGAGACTCAGAGAGACGTAGACGTCAGAGAGACTCAGAGAGACGTCAGAGAGACGTCAGAGAGACTCAGAGAGACGTCAGAGAGACGTCAGAGACTCAGAGAGACGTCAGAGACTCAGAGAGACGTCAGAGACGTCAGAGAGACGTCAGAGACTCAGAGAGACGTCAGAGAGACGTCAGAGAGACGTCAGAGACTCAGAGAGACGTCAGAGAGACGTCAGAGAGAGAGACGTCAGAGACTCAGAGAGACGTCAGAGACACGTCAGAGACACGTCAGAGACTCAGAGAGACGTCAGAGAGACGTCAGAGACGTCAGAGAGACGTCAGAGAGACGTCAGGGAGACGTCAGAGAGAGAGACGTTGAACCTCTCCCTGAAGGCCTCCAGCAGCACGGGGATGGCCTCCTCCACGCTCACGTCTCTCTGCAGCTCAGCGCTCAGCGACGTCACGCCTTTCCCTTCGATTCCGCACGGCACGATGTGGTCGAACCACGACAGGTCGGTGTTACAGTTCAGAGCGAAGCCGTGAGACGTGACGTAGCGACCGCAGTGGATTCCTGCAGGAACACATAATGAAGAATATACAAGATAAGATAGGACGTCCTTATTCCCCAAGGACACTGCAGAGTTACAACGAACAGAGCATCATGTGTTTCTGTGTGTTTCTGTACCGATGGCACAGATCTTGTTGTCTCCGACCCAGACTCCGGTGTGAGGCGACGTCGACGCCTCGATGCCGAACCGTCTGCAGACGGAGAGGACGGTCTGCTCCAACTCACACACATACCATCGCACACTCTGAGGACACACACAGATACACACACGTTAACACACACACACAGATACACACACGTTAACACACACACACACGATACCACACACGTTAACACACACACACACTACCACACACGTTAACACACACACACACTACCACACACGTTAACACACACAGATACACACACGTTAACACACACAGATACACACACGTTAACACACACACATGAAAGGTCTCCTATTATACTGTTTTTAGGCCTATATTATAGGTCTCAAATATATAAAGACATGTCTCTGAAGTGTCCTGCTCCAGACCCCAAACAGACCCTTGTAGCCCCCCCCCCCCTCTCTTCCAGCTGTTACTAAGGACATGTCTCTGAAGTGTCCTGCTCCAAACCCCAAACAGATCCTTGTAGCCCCCCCCCTCTCTCTTCCAGCTGTTACTAAGGACATGTCTCTGAAGTGTCCTGCTCCAAACCCCAAACAGATCCTTGTAGCCCCCCCCCCTCTCTTCCAGCTGTTACTAAGGACATGTCTCTGAAGTGTCCTGCTCCAAACCCCAAACAGATCCTTGTAGCCCCCCCCCCCCCTCTCTCTTCCAGCTGTTACTAAGGACATGTCTCTGAAGTGTCCTGCTCCAAACCCCAAACAGATCCTTGTAGCCCCCCCCCCCCTCTCTTCCAGCTGTTACTAAGGACATGTCTCTGAAGTGTCCTGCTCCAAACCCCAAACAGATCCTTGTAGCCCCCCCCCCCTCTCTTCCAGCTGTTACTAAGGACATGTCTCTGAAGTGTCCTGCTCCAAACCCCAAACAGATCCTTGTAGCCCCCCCCCTCTCTCTTCCAGCTGTTACTAAGGACATGTCTCTGAAGTGTCCCTGCTCCAAACCCCAAACAGATCCTTGTAGCCCCCCCCCCCCTCTCTTCCAGCTGTTACTAAGGACATGTCTCAGAAGTGTCCTGCTCCAAACCCCAAACAGATCCTTGTAGCCCCCCCCCCCTCTCTTCCAGCTGTTACTAAGGACATGTCTCTGAAGTGTCCTGCTCCAAACCCCAAACAGATCCTTGTAGCCCCCCCCCCCTCTCTTCCAGCTGTTACTAAGGACATGTCTCTGAAGTGTCCTGCTCCAAACCCCAAACAGATCCTTGTAGCGCCCCCCCCCCTCTCTTCCAGCTGTTACTAAGGACATGTCTCTGAAGTGTCCCTGCTCCAAACCCCAAACAGATCCTTGTAGCCCCCCCCCTCTCTCTTCCAGCTGTTACTAAGGACATGTCTCTGAAGTGTCCTGCTCCAAACCCCAAACAGATCCTTGTAGCCCCCCCCCCCTCTCTTCCAGCTGTTACTAAGGACATGTCTCTGAAGTGTCCTTCTCCAAACCCCAAACAGATCCTTGTAGCCCCCCCCCTCTCTTCCAGCTGTTACTAAGGACATGTCTCTGAAGTGTCCTGCTCCAAACCCCAAACAGATCCTTGTAGCCCCCCCCCCCCGTCTCTTCCAGCTGTTACTAAGGACATGTCTCTGAAGTGTCCTGCTCCAAACCCCAAACAGATCCTTGTAGCCCCCCCCCCCTCTCTTCCAGCTGTTACTAAGGACATGTCTCTGAAGTGTCCTGCTCCAAACACCAAACAGATCCTTGTAGCCCCCCCCCCCCTCTCTTCCAGCTGTTACTAAGGACATGTCTCTGAAGTGTCCTGCTCCAAACCCCAAACAGATCCTTGTAGCCCCCCCCCCCCTCTCTTCCAGCTGTTACTAAGGACATGTCTCTGAAGTGTCCTGCTCCAAACCCCAAACAGATCCTTGTAGCCCCCCCCCCCCTCTCTTCCAGCTGTTACTAAGGACATGTCTCTGAAGTGTCCTGCTCCAAACCCCAAACAGATCCTTGTAGCCCCCCCCCCTCTCTCTTCCAGCTGTTACTAAGGACATGTCTCTGAAGTGTCCTGCTCCAAACCCCAAAACAGATCCTTGTAGCCCCCCCCCCCTCTCTTCCAGCTGTTACTAAGGACATGTCTCTGAAGTGTCCTGCTCCAAACCCCAAACAGATCCTTGTAGCCCCCCCCCCCTCTCTTCCAGCTGTTACTAAGGACATGTCTCTGAAGTGTCCTTCTCCAAACCCCAAACAGATCCTTGTAGCCCCCCCCCCTCTCTTCCAGCTGTTACTAAGGACATGTCTCTGAAGTGTCCTGCTCCAAACCCCAAACAGATCCTTGTAGCCCCCCCCCCCGTCTCTTCCAGCTGTTACTAAGGACATGTCTCTGAAGTGTCCTGCTCCAAACCCCAAACAGATCCTTGTAGCCCCCCCCCCCTCTCTTCCAGCTGTTACTAAGGACATGTCTCTGAAGTGTCCTGCTCCAAACACCAAACAGATCCTTGTAGCCCCCCCCCCCCCTCTCTTCCAGCTGTTACTAAGGACATGTCTCTGAAGTGTCCTGCTCCAAACCCCAAACAGATCCTTGTAGCCCCCCCCCCCCTCTCTTCCAGCTGTTACTAAGGACATGTCTCTGAAGTGTCCTGCTCCAAACCCCAAACAGATCCTTGTAGCCCCCCCCCCCCTCTCTTCCAGCTGTTACTAAGGACATGTCTCTGAAGTGTCCTGCTCCAAACCCCAAACAGATCCTTGTAGCCCCCCCCCCCTCTCTTCCAGCTGTTACTAAGGACATGTCTCTGAAGTGTCCTGCTCCAAACCCCAAACAGACCCTTGTAGCCCCCCCCCCCCCCCTCTCTTCCAGCTGTTACTAAAGAGCTGACTCTGGGTCAGTAGCTTCAGAGAGAGAGTAGATCTCATCAGGAGAACTCCGTGACTAAACTCCATATCATGTTCCAAACCACATGAAGGATTCTCTCTGAAACAGCATGGAGCTCAAACTCTTTCTCTCTCTCAGGTTTACCACAAGGTGACTTCCTTTTGATTTCCTGCTTCTTTACACATGCTCTCTCCAGTACAGGTTAGCTCTGAGTGTTAGCATGCTAATGTAGACACAGACCATATTACTTCCAGAACACGTCTCATTGTTTCTGACAGCAACGTTTCTGATTGGCCCGTGGGTGTAAAGCCCGCCCACATTTTAGTAATGTGGTCATGACGCAGCAAATCTGGATCAGCTCCGTTGTTCCCCCGTTTTTAGAGATGTGGGTACGGAGGAAAAGAGAGAGGGGTTTATTTCCTGACACTTTGAGAGTCTCCTGACACACCGGGGACACGCCGGGGACACACCGGGGACACACCGGGGACACACCGGGGACACATGGGGACACACCGGGGACACACCGGGGACACACCGGGACACACCGGGGACACATGGGGACACACGGGGGACACACCGGGGACACACCGGGGACACACCGGGGACACACGGGGGACACACCGGGGACACATGGGGACACACGGGGGACACACCGGGGACACACGGGGGACACACCGGGGACACACGGGGGACACATGGGGACACACCGGGGACACATGGGGACACACCGGGGACACATGGGGACACACCGGGGACACATGGGGACACACGGGGGACACACCGGGACACACCGGGGACACACCGGGGACACACCGGGGACACACGGGGGACACACCGGGGACACATGGGGGACACACCGGGGACACACCGGGGACACATGGGGACACACGGGGACACATGGGGGGACACGGTGATGTAGAAAAGACATCAGAACGTGCATTCTGCATGATAGGAGACCTTTAACACACATGTTAACAGATAACTACATTAAACTGTATTTACAGGTTATTAAAGGTTATTGATCACCTTCTTGAAGCTGCCCAGGTGCATGATGGGGGTATTAAAGGTTATTAAAGGTTATTGATCACCTTCTTGAAGCTGCCCAGGTGCATGATGGGGGTATTAAAGGTTATTAAAGGTTATTGATCACCTTCTTGAAGCTGCCCAGGTGCATGATGGGGGTATTAAAGGTTATTAAAGGTTATTGATCACCTTCTTGAAGCTGCCCAGGTGCATGATGGGGGTATTAAAGGTTATTAAAGGTTATTGATCACCTTCTTGAAGCTGCCCAGGTGCAGGATGGGGTATTAAAGGTTATTAAAGGTTATTGATCACCTTCTTGAAGCTGCCCAGGTGCAGGATGGGGTATTAAAGGTTATTAAAGGTTATTAATCACCTTCTTGAAGCTGCCCAGGTGCATGATGGGGGTATTAAAGGTTATTAAAGGTTATTGATCACCTTCTTGAAGCTGCCCAGGTGCAGGATGGGGTATTAAAGGTTATTAAAGGTATTGATCACCTTCTTGAAGCTGCCCAGGTGCATGATGGGGGTATTAAAGGTTATTGATCACCTTCTTGAAGCTGCCCAGGTGCATGATGGGGGTATTAAAGGTTATTAAAGGTTATTGATCACCTTCTTGAAGCTGCCCAGGTGCATGATGGGGGTATTAAAGGTTATTAAAGGTTATTGATCACCTTCTTGAAGCTGCCCAGGTGCAGGATGGGGGTATTAAAGGTTATTAAAGGTTATTGATCACCTTCTTGAAGCTGCCCAGGTGCAGGATGGGGTATTAAAGGTTATTAAAGGTTATTGATCACCTTCTTGAAGCTGCCCAGGTGCATGATGGGGGTATTAAAGGTTATTAAAGGTTATTGATCACCTTCTTGAAGCTGCCCAGGTGCATGATGGGGGTATTAAAGGTTATTAAAGGTTATTGATCACCTTCTTGAAGCTGCCCAGGTGCAGGATGGGGTAGCAGACGAGCTGCCCCGGCCCGTGGAAGGTGATCAGCCCCCCCCGGCTGCAGCGCTGCACCTCGGCCCCGGTCTGACGCAGGCCCTCCAGCAGGGGGGGAGGGTAGGGGAGGCAGCGCAGCCCCGTGGTGAAGGTGGGGGGGTGCTGGACCAGCAGCAGGGCGTGGCTCTGCTCTCTGACCCTCTGATGGTTCTCCTGGTTCTCCTGGTTCTCCTCTCTGACCCTCTGATGGTGTCTGAGGACCAGATGCTGCTGCAGAGCCTCTGACTCTCTGAAGGAGAGGAGGCCAAGGCGCAGGACCTGGACCAGGGGGCGGGGGGGCATCACTCCTGGGGGGGGGGGGGGGTAACACATTATATAATAACACACATTATATAATAACACACACATTATACCTGGGGGCAATCATAACACACAAGGGTTGGGAACCGAAACTCGGTTCCAGATGAGAACCGAAAAGAAAATGCCGGGTACCGGGTACCCATACAAAATACACAATTTCGGTTCTGCTTAACGGTTCCTAAGCGCGGTAGACTAACCCTTTAGTATTGCAAAGAAAGCCTACATATCTGCACGGACGTAGGCTAAGGCTACGTAGCTATCTGTAAGGACCTGTAGTAACGTGACAACGTCACGCATAACCCCGGACCCGCCGCTTGCATGTCCAGAAGTGCCAGGTACAGCTAGCCGCGACACACCGTTCTCTTTGGCATTAAAAGGAAAGCTGACCAGAGAAAACACGGAGGAGTTTCATAGAGCGGTAACAGCATTTGTTGTCAAAGAGCTACATCCCTTCTCGGTTGTCGAAGCTCCGTCATTTAGGTATGCAAGGTTAAACAAAAGTGTGGCGATAGTAGGGTACTTCAATCAAATCAAAATCAAATGAAAGTTTATTTATAAAGCACATTTAAAAGCGATTTTTGGTCGAGCCAAAGTGCTGTACATGTAATAAAAACACATTACTACAATCACAATAAAGGACAATAAATTACAACAGATATATAAAAATATAACACAAGGAAAAGTCAGGAGTCGTGCTCCGCTCTGACTAGAAAGCCAGAGAGAAGAAGTGAGTCTTAAGTGTTGATTTAAAAACCCCTAGGGTCTGGGCCGACCTCACATGGAGGGGCAGAGTGTTCCAGAGCCTGGGGCCAGCTGCTGCGAAGGCTCGGTGCCCTCGGGTTTTGAGCCTGGTCTTGGGCACTACCAGCAGCAGCTGGTCAGCAGACCTTAAAGCTCTGGCTGGGGTGCAGCGCTGGAGGAGTTCAGCTATATAGGCCGGAGCCAGCCCATTTAGTGCTTTAAAAACAAATAAAAGGATTTTAAAATCAATTCTGAACCGAACTGGAAGCCAGTGTAGTGAGGCCAGAATAGGGGTGATGTGGTCACGCTTTTTGTGGCCAGTCAGCAAACGTGCAGCTGCGTTTTGGACTAGCTGTAAGCGTTTGATTGAGGCCTGGTCCATACCCACATACAGAGCGTTGCAATAGTCCAACCTCGAGGTAACAAAGGCGTTAATAACCCTTTCTAAGTCTTTAAAAGATAAATACGACTTGGTTTTGGCCAATAGTCTTATTTAAAAAAAGCAGGTTTTGACTACGGTGCTGACCTGCTTATCGAATTTAAAAGCGCTAGTGAAGGTCACTCCAAGGTTCATGTTATTTTTGAGGGATCCCAGAATATCAACCGGAGAGGCTGGAGGTTGCGGTCCAAAAAAGATGACCTCAGTCTTGCTCTCGTTGAGGTTGAGGAAATGTTGGCTCAGCCAGGATTTTATCTCTGTTAAGCAGTCCATCAGCTGCTGTAGTGAGTTTACATTTGCTTTGAGAGGCAGATATATCTGTACATCGTCGGCGTAGCAGTGGAAGGGAATATTATGTTTTGTGAGAATTGAACCTAGGGGCAGTATGTACAGTAGAAAAAGGATGGGGCCCAAAATCGAGCCTTGGGGAACCCCACAGGTAAGAGGGGCTTTAGCAGAGGAGAAGGCACCTAGCTGCACTGAGAAGCTACGGTCTGTCAGGTAGGACCTGAACCATGCAAGGGCAGAGCCTGTGATGCCAGCGGACTGTTCAAGCCGTGACAGCAGGATGCTATGGTCCACAGTGTCAAAGGCAGCTGTCAGGTCTAACAGCACCAAGACAGCTGGGCTACCTGAGTCGGCGGCTAGGAGCAGATCATTAAAAACTCTTCAAAGGGCTGTTTCAGTGCTGTGCATGGGTTTGAAGCCAGACTGAAACTTTTCATGGATTCCATGCATGGTTAAAAAAGACTGCAGCTGGGCGTAGACTACTCGCTCCAGGGCTTTTGATAAAAAAGGTAGCTGGGAGATGGGCCTAAAATTTGCGAGAATGGAGGGGTCGAGATTTTTCTTTTTAAGTAGTGGCTTAACCACGGCATGTTTGAAGGCAGCTGGGACACATCCTGAGGTAAGAGAGGTGTTTAAAAGTAATAAAATACTTGCTCCAACTGATTCTAAAACGTCTCTGAGAAGGCGAGAGGGAATGCTGTCTGAGGTGCAGTTTGTCGGCCGCAGGTGCTTGACTACATCCGAGAGAGAAGAGAGGGATACAGGCTCAAAGTGGTCGAGGACAGCAGGGCACAGAAAAGGAGCAGGATCTGGGATAGCACTAGTGTGGGCTAGCCTAAGAGCAGATACTTTTTCAATACAAAATTTAAGAAACTTATCACAGAGAGTAGTCGATGGGACAATAGAAGAAACATCACAGGGATTAAAGATCGAGTTGAGGACATTAAAAAGAACCTGAGGTTTTTTACTTGTACAGTAAAAGCCAGGTACTGTTATACAACTTGTGTCAGCAGGTTTCCTGCTGCTACCTCAGTTGAAATAAAGCACAGCTATTAAAAATGTCAGTTAAAAGCTTGAAAAAATAAAGATATTTTTGCTATCTAAACATTTGACCTCTTTCTTTTACAATTTTGGAATCGAAACGGGGAATCAATAAGCAGAATCGGAATCGATACATTTCAAACGATACCCATCCCTATAACACACACATTATAATGACACAGATTATACTATAAACACACACATTATAGACAAAAACTGCTCTTCAGAACATAAAAAAGTGAACCATGGTGTCCCCCAAGGTTCTGTGCTTGGCCCCATCCTTTTTTCAATCTTCATGCTTCCTCTTGGTTTATATAATATAATAACACACACATGATACTAGGGGGCGGGGGGGCATCACACCTGGGGGCGGGGGGGCATCACACATGGGGGGCGGGGGGGCATCACACCTGAGCATACGTTAATCACGGCAGCATTTAGCTGAGTTTCTGCTGCTAGAATTCTCCTGTATTTTGAGCAAAACACTTCATAGACAGGTTGTTTATATATCTGTATATATCTGAGACCTGTAATAAATGCCTAAAAATAACATGATAGGAGAACTTTAAATACTGTACATTACTTTTGCTTGGTTTATCTTTTATTTTTATACTAAATCATTAAAAAGTTTAATTAATATGACAATTCATTAGGGGTGTAACGGTATTCGTAATATTCGTATGGGCCCTTCGGGTCGGTACACGTGTGTCGCAGCGTTCAGTGTAATTTGCTCCCATTGGGTTCAACGCGTCATAGAGCGACCAAGTCATTTCATTGGACGAGAGGCATACTATGAGAGCTGGTCACAGGGATGCGTTCAAATGTAGTCAGTAATTTGAGGAACTGTCAAAATGGCGAACGCAGATAAAGTTGAGCTGGAAAATCCTCCAGCATCATTGAAGTCTCCGGTTTGGGAAAATGTTGGTTTCACAGTTACGTACAAGGATGACGGACAAAGACAGGTGGACCGAACCAAAGCTGTTTGTCGGCATTGTTCAACTAACATTGGTTACGCGGCTGGCAATACATCAAACTGGCACTCATTTGAAAAGGCATCACCCGAACGTGAATATCACCGGTACCAAAAGAAAAAAGACTGAAGTGCAAACCCAACTCCCACTAGCATTTAAGCCTCAGAACGCCACCAAACATCACATGATGGTTAACACTGTGGCCCTGAACAGCTCTACATCAAATCTGATGTTACGTAATGTGGTGTTACTATGGCAACGCATCCCTCGCCATAAAACACGATGCCGCTGTAACTCCAATGGACACGGCCCAATCGTCCCCCAATCTTCACTTGTATATCACCGGTCCATGCCTCAACAGCTCTATGTCAATTATGGGGTGTCATCATATGCGTTTCCATGGAAACGCATCCCTCGCCATAAAACACGATGTTGTCGTAACCAGTGTTAATTTCGTCAACGAAAACTATGACGAAAAATGTTCGTCAACGACCTTTTTTACATGACTAAGACGAGACGAGCTAAAAATAGATTCTTGATAACGAAAACTATTACGAAATGTATATTTAGCTTTCGTTGACGAGACGAGACGGGACTGAGGTGTTAATGGTGGACTATCGGACTTTCAGAATGCAGGGTCTTTTCCCCCAAGTGTCCATCTTGTCTGTCAAAATGCATCTTACGTTTCTAACTTGCAATATCATTATTTCCGCTCTCTTCACTCCAGAAGAGCGATCTCCCTGTCTCTCTCTGTGTACGGGGCCTCACTCTCTCTCTGTGTGCGGGGGGCGGGGCCTCACTCTCTCTCTGTGTGCGGGGGGCGGGGCCTCACTCTCTCTCTGTGTGCGGGGGCGGGGCTCACTGTCTCTCTGTGTGCGGGGGGCGGGGCCTCACTGTCTCTCTGTGTGCGGGGGGCGGGGCCTAACTCTCTCTGTGTGCGGGGTGCGGGGCCTCACTCTCTCTCTGTGTGCGGGGGCGGGGCCTCACTCTCTCTCTGTGTGCGGGGGGGCGGGGCCTAAGAGACACGCTGCAGCGGACACAGAGATCTGCCGGGGACGGAGCGTTCAGAAGTATAGAGACACTCTACAAGGCTCGATGTGGACAAAGCTCATTATGGCGTAAGCGCGTTGACACGAGTAGAGTAGTCTGTCCAAACAGCCGGCCAAAAGGCGTCATATTCAATCGGAGAAATGCACAATTTTCGACTTCCTCGTAGCTCTGTTGCGCCAATTACGAGTAACGTTATCACATCAGGTGCGCAGAGGTGGGAGAAGTACTCAGATCTTGTATTTGAGTAACGGGCCGTCTCCACGGCAGCGTTAAAAAAATCTTGGAGGTGGGCGTATCTGAGGCTTTGCGATCAACCAATCACATGAATCTCCCGCCCGCGACATACGAAGCCAAAAAGCCCGAAGTAAACTGGATATAAACTCCCCAAAACAGGCGAAAACATACCACTGTCTCTGCCACCTCCCTCCATGCCTGGCTCCTCCGGTTTGTATCCCGGTAGGTAAATAGGGTCTGGTCATAAAGCACCGGGTGATTCCCTACCGCTCATTTCTCCTCCATGTTTTGGAATATGAGGAAATGACCTGCGGTATGTCTCTCCCAGCATACACGCCGTTTGATTGGCTAGAGCTTGAACTGTCAGATTTGCGTACACGGGATTTGATTGGCTGACGCTTCCTCCTCAGCTTCAAAAGTTGAACATTGTTCAACTTTGGATCTTGAAAATCCTGAGAATCTCCGCTCGCCTGCCCACAATCCATTTCGGCGAAAGCGAAAAAAAGTGACGTCACCCCATTCAAAGTGAATGGGCAGAAGCGTTTCAAGATTTTTTAACGCTGCCGTGGAGACGGCCCGTAAAAGTAGAAGTACTCAGATCTTGTTCTTGAGTAAAAGTAGAAGTACTCAGATCTTGTACTTAGTAAAAGTAGAAGTACTCAGATCTTGTACTTGAGTAAAAGTAGAAGTACTCAGATGTACTTGAGTAAAAGTAGAAGTACTCAGATCTTGTTCTTGAGTAAAAGTAGAAGTACTCAGATCTTGTTCTTGAGTAAAAGTAGAAGTACTCAGATATTGTACTTGAGTAAAAGTAGAAGTACTCAGGTCTTGTACTTGAGTAAAAGTAGAAGTACCTGAGTGTAGGAATACTCTGTTTCAGTAAAAGTCCTGCATTCAAAATGTTCCTCAAGTGAAAGTATAAAAGTATTCTCATCAAAATATAGTGAAAGTAGCGACAGTAAAAGTAGTCATTGTGCAGATTGGTCCATTTCAGAATAATATATATGATATTAAATACATGTAGTGGAGTAAAAGTACACCATTTACCTCTGAACTGTAGAGGAGTAGAAGTACACAGTAGCATAACATTTAAATGTAAAGTACAAGTACCTCAACATTTTACTCAAGTACAGTACAATATAATAACATAATAATACATATTTTATTTATTTATTTCACATGTAAATAAAGCAATGTTAATTCGGTTAACAATTTGTTTAGTTTTTCCCTTTAAAAAATAACAAAAAGAATACCGTGAAAGTACCGGATCGATAAGCAGTTTCGATAAGACTATAGTACCGTTAACAACCTTAGTGATACCCATCCCTAGATATTACACAAGTAAAGTGTTAAGAGAGTGAAATGTTGCTTTACGAATTTCAACACTTGATGCTGTCACCTTGATTATAATTTCAGATACCTGCATTTGCCTAACTGAATTAGTTTAAAGAGAGACATTTTTTTGACTAAAAGTTGACTAAAAATGTAATTTTTCATCGACTAAAAGTTGACTAAAACGTTTTGAGTTTTCGTCAACTAAAACTAGACTAAAACTACGAAGGATAGAAATGACTAAAATGTGACTAAAACTAATAACCATTTTCGTCTAAAGACTAAGACTAAATCAAAAACAGCTGCCAAAATTAACACTGGTCGTAACTCCTATGGTCAAAACAGCACCAGACTTCAGATAATGGTTAACGGTCCAGCCCTCAACATGTCTATGTGCCATTAGTGGGTTTTCCTCAAAAGCTATTGCCATGGCAACGCATCCCTCGCCGTGAATCACGATGTCGCTATAACTCCTATGAAAATGGCCAAAAAGTGCTAAAAATGCACATGTGTGTTAACGGTCCAGCCGTGAAGACATCTACGTGACCGTTTTCAGATTTCTTCAAATGCCGTTGCCTTGGCAACACAATGCTCGCCATGAAACAAGATTTTCTCATAACTTCAGTGAAAATGCTCCAAACGGCCCAAAACTTCACAGGTTTGGTAACGATGCAGCCATCAACACATCTAAGCGTATTATGGGGTGTCATCAAATGCCGTTGCCATGGCGACAGATCATTCGCCATTAAGTTAGTTCAAAAGTTTGCAGTTCAAATATTCTGCTGCTTTTCCAAGCCTTTTTACTTTCTTTTCTTCTCTCATCACACATTCAAGCCCCCAGTGTTCATGTATCATTTCAATCTAAATTCTTCACTTTCTTCTTACACATTACATTTCAGAATAGCAGTTCAGCGGCAGCTTTTCAGCATAAAGCATTCCCACTTGCAATTTCTTCAGGAATTGCATTCTCTAGTTTTTTCTGCTATACCGAAAACGTACCGAACCGTGACCTAAAAACCGAGGTACGGACCGAACCGAAATGTTTGTGAACCGTTACACCCCTACAATTCATGATTTAATTCAACATATTCTTCGGTCAACTTAGGGAATTTAATCCTTAAAAATATCATTAATAATCTATTAAAATGACCTTAAATACTGAATGAATTGTTTTTATTATATTTTAAGTAACTTTGCTCCCCATTAAAAATCAATTATAAAAAGGTAAATAAAGTAATTATTTTACCCATTAATTATCCTTCTAGAATCCCGTTAAAAACCTAATTTAGGCTTCTGTTATTGTGTGAAATATTGACTTTTAATGTGAAATAATGAATATATAGAGGGCAGTTTGACCTCTATATATTCATTATATACACAGCTCAGACTCTGAACGAGGTTTCATTAAAGCTCCTCTCAGCTCAGAAGAACTGCCTCTCTGATTTCAGGTGTTTATCACCTGTTTTTTACCTTTTTCTCACCTGTTTAAAGTCTCTAAAGTCTCGGAAGCTGCTTCAATGCACCGCCATTGTTGTTGTTATTCTTCTTCTTCTTCGGTGGTGAAATCGTGAAATCGATCTACTTCCGGGTTTCTGCCGCCTGCTGGAACCTTTCAAAATAAATCCTAAAAGAGATCATTTTAGATAATAATAATAATAATTTGAGGGTTAGTAATGAAACATAAAGTTTAAATTGAGTTTTTCCGGGTTTTGTTTCAAATGTTTACGTTTATTTTGAAGTCTAGGAGGAGGCGGGACTTTATCTCTGACGCTGCTCAGTGGCGATGAAGCCAAAACAGCCTGGCACCGGGCCCACAGAGCATGCGCAGTGGAGTTTCCTTTAAGCCACGCCTCCTCTCTGTCAGTCAGATGATGGAGGGAGACCTTCTAGATTAATATTTTAGAACATTTTAGTGGTTATTACTTTATATCTCTACCCTTGATGTGATCTTGTGTGTATACAACATATATGATGTTTACTAGATATGTTCTTGAGTAAATAATAATAAAAACTACCACCAGGAGGATCTGCTTCAGCGCTCTTTCACTTCCGGGTTTAGGGTATGTTGTGAGCGGAGAGACAGCAACATGGCGGCGGTCGGGAGGAACCGGTCCAGAGAGGCGAGAGACAGGAGGAGAGACAGCCGGAGAGGTGAGCTCTTTCCCGGGTAGACATCAGCTCACAGTCCGCTGAATCACCTCCGGGTCCGGGGGGTAAAATGCGTTATAGAGTCCGTTTATAGTATCGACAACCCGGAGAGAAACAGCTAGTGATCACAGAGGGGAGAGAGTTTCCCGGGTAAACAAGTACTCACATCTATAGGTACAAGTACTCACATCTTTAGGTACAAGTTCTCAGGTACAAGTACTCAGGTACAAGTACTCACATCTTTAGGTACAAGTTCTCAGGTACAAGTACTCAGATATTTAGGATCTTAAGTAAAAGTAGAAGTACTCGGGTCTTGTTAAATTGTATTTAAGTACTTGAGTAAAGTACTTAGTTACTTCCCAGCTCTTTCTATGCCATATATATATATGTATATGACATGTATATGACATAGATGCTTTTTTCTTATATTTCATATCCATGTGTAAAGCTGCAGGTTAAAGTATGTTTAGTCACGGTCAGGTGAGTGATGAGCTCTGCTTTCTGACTGTCACTACCCGATCGGTCCACCTGCCCGATCGGTACTGCGCATGTGCGAGATGGTCCGCCATATTGGACAACTACATACGGCAACTCTGATAGGACAGTTGACACAGTGGCTTTTGGCAAAGCAGAAAAATAACTGACAGAGATGAATTATTGTTATTACAACGTGACTTCACTATTATTTAACAACTCTTTTTATTGGGTTATTTTATTTGGGGTTAAGTACATTGTCAGAATAAGTGGGACATGGATTTAACTTCTGTTAGACAGCTATATGCTATACATTTTTGCATACATTCAGAGTAAATATTTATTCAGTATGATAGCCGTATGTAGTTCTCCAATATGGCGGACCATCTCGCACATGCGCAGTACCGATCGGGCAGGTGGACCGATCGGGTAGTGACACTGACCCCTAGATTCCACCGGGTCCGTCTGCGCCGCGGTTTTGTTCCGGCCTCCTCCGGCGTCATACCCTACCAGGCGCGTTTCAGAAGCGTTTCAGAAGCATTTCAGAAGCGGAGCGTCTTGCCTGCCGGCTCGCAGGTTTTGTTGATTTGGGCATATTTCCTGGACAGGCTACTTTGTACAGACAAAGTTAATAATAACTGTAATATTCCAGTTATAAACGACATGAATCAAAGACGTGTTGCTGTATTTTAGTGGTAAAGAAATGCATTCATCATCATAATTATTCTATATATATAATTTACACAGTGCCTGTAAACCGGAGGAGAACGCTGGCATTTCTCCTCCTACTTGAAAGACTATGGAGCAGCCGCAGCGTTATGGGTGGGCCTGGGCTTAGGCCCACCGGGGAGTCCCAGCAGCTTCTACTGAAGCCTTCCCCAACTCCGGGGACTTCCTGCCGGGGACTCCGGGTGGCAGTATACGCCGTGAAGTTGTTTGCAGCCTGCCAGTAAACCCAAAGCAGAAGAAGAAGAAGTGACGTCAGCGGCTCATTTGCGTAATCTTCCCTCAGGGAATTTATTCCGGTGTGAACGCGATCTGTACTAAGTGCCCTGGGGTCATAAGTGCCGGGGCACTAAGTACGGCAAAGTACTTGGTGTGAACGCGGCTAATGACTAGAGTGGCCGCGATCGCCGTGAGCGCCGCGGCGCAGCCGGACCCGGTGGAATCTAGGGGTGAGGACTTGCCCCGACATGTACTGCTGTAGGAGGAGCCTAAATACTACAGTACTACTTATTAATAGAAAGGCGAAGTCCCTCCCCTTCCGGTGGGACCCATGGGACCTTATTTAGGAAAAATTATGCATTGAAGTCAATGGGGAGAGAAAGATTATCTTTCGATCCCGTTTGAATTGTGCCACGAATTACACATATGATGTTTGTCAATCTTAAAAAATAATTTCCAAGTCAAAAAAGTCACAGTTTGTCGTAAAACTGTTGAAATATAAGACTATGAAAAATACGCAACTAGAAAGACTACAAATCCCAGAGTCCCGGTCCCGCATGCTGGCTCTTAGGAACCGACTAACTCCCCTTGTGTGTATGTACAGCTCTCAACATGCCCAGACTTGGAGTGATTTTCACCTCTTTTAATACTTTCCGCCTCATTCTGAAAGAAAGAAGTGAAATGTGCCAACGTGACGGCCGTCTGGGTGTGTGGTGCGAGACGGGAGATGGAGTTCATTGAGCGGTTTCACACACAAAAAGTGTTACTTCACAGTTTTACGACATATTTTTATTTTTTTGACTTGTAAAATTATCTTTTAAATTGACAAACATCAGATGTGTAATTCGTGGCTCAATTCAAACGGGATCAAAAGATAATCTTTCTCTCTCCATTGACTTCAATACATAACTTTTCAGAAATAAGGTCCCATGGAGGTCCACCGTTATTTTTAAATATATTTTTTCAAATCAAATCAGGTTTTATTTATAAAGCACATTTAAAAGCGATTTTTGGTCGAGCCAAAGTGCTGTACATGTAATAAAAACACATTACTACAAATCACAATAAACGACAATAAATTACAACAGATATATCTTAAAAACAAAATAAAAATAAAACACAGGGAAAAGTCAGGAGTCGTGCTCCGCTCTAACTAGAAGGCCAGAGAGAAGAAGTGTGTTTTTAGTGTAGATTTAAAACCCCCTAGGGTCTGGGCCGACCTCACATGGAGGGGCAGAGTGTTCCAGAGCCTCGGGCCAGCTGCTGAGAAGGCTCGGTGCCCTCGGGTTTTGAGCCTGGTCTTGGGCACTACCAGCAGCAGCTGGTCAGCAGACCTTAAAGCTCTGGCTGGGGTGTAGCGCTGGAGGAGTTCAGCTATATAGGCCGGAGCCAGCCCATTTAGGGCTTTAAAAACAAATAAAAGGATTTTAAAATCAATTCTGAACCGAACTGGAAGCCAGTGTAGTGAGGCCAGAATTGGGGTGATGTGGTCACGCTTTTTGTGGCCAGTCAGCAAACGTGCAGCAGCGTTTTGGACTAGCTGTAAGCGTTTGATTGAGGCCTGGTCCATACCCACATACAGAGCGTTGCAATAGTCCAGTCTCGAGGTTACAAAGGCGTTAATAACCCTTTCTAAGTCTTTAAAAGATAAATACGACTTGGTTTTGGCCAATAGTCTTATTTTAAAAAAGCAGGATTTTACTACGGTGCTGACCTGCTTGTCGAATTTAAAAGTGCTGGTGAATGTCACTCCAAGGTTCATGACCGAGGGGAGGATGTTTTTTTTTATAGAGCCCAGAATATCAACCGGAGAGGCTGGAGGTTGGGGTCCAAAAAAGATGACCTCAGTCTTGCTCTCGTTGAGGTTGAGAAAGTTTTTGCTCAGCCAGGATTTTATCTCTGTTAAGCAGTCCATCAACTGCTGTAGTGAGTGTTTGACATTTGCTTTGAGAGGCAGATAGATCTGTACATCGTCGGCGTAGCAGTGGAAGGGAATATTATGTTTTGTGAGAATTGAACCTAGGGGCAGTATGTACAGTAGGAAAAGGATGGGGCCCAGAATCGAGCCTTGGGAAACCCCACAGGTAAGAGGGGCTTTGGCAGAGGAGAAGGCACCTAGCTGCACCGAGAAGCTACGGTCTGTCAGGTAGGACCTGAACCATGCAAGGGCAGAGCCTGTGATGCCAGCGGACTGTTCAAGCCGTGACAGCAGGATGCTATGGTCCACAGTGTCAAAGGCAGCTGTCAGGTCTAACAGCACCAAGACAGCTGGGCTACCTGAGTCGGCGGCTAGGAGCAGATCATTAAAAACTCTTCAAAGGGCTGTTTCAGTGCTGTGCATGGGTTTGAAGCCAGACTGAAACTTTTCATGGATTCCATGCGTGGTTAAAAAAGACTGCAGCTGGGCGTAGACTACTCGCTCCAGGGCTTTAGATAAAAAAGGCAGCTGGGAGATGGGCCTAAAATTTGCGAGAATGGAGGGGTCGAGATTTTTCTTTTTAAGTAGTGGCTTAACCACGGCATGTTTGAAGGCAGCTGGGACACATCCTGAGGTAAGAGAGGTGTTTAAAAGTAATAAAATACTTGCTCCAACTGAATCAAAAACATCTCTGAGAAGGCGAGAGGGAATGCTGTCTGAGGTGCAGTTTGCCGGCCGCAGGTGCTTGACTACATCCGAGAGAGAAGAGAGGGATACAGGCTCAAAGTGGTCGAGGACAGCAGGGCACAGAGAGGGAGCAGGATCTGGGGTAGCACTAGTGTGGGCTAGCCTAAGAGCAGATACTTTTTCAATAAAAAATTTAAGAAACTTATCACAGAGAGTAGTCGATGGGACAATAGAAGAAACATCACAGGGATTAATGATCGAGTTGAGGACATTAAAAAGAACCTGAGGTTTATGGCTGTTTTTGGAGATTAGCAGAGAAATGTGCTCTGTTTTGGCTGCTTTGACTGCCGTCTGGTAGTCAGAAAGGCAAGCACGAAGGATTTCTAGGGAGACATGGAGTTTATCCTTTTTCCATTTTCTCTCTGCACGCCTGCAAGCGCGTCTGAGAGCACGAGTACAGTCATTGAGCCACGGCTCTGAGAGAACTTTGGTGCGTCTAAGCGTAAAAGGAGCAACAGAATCCAGTATTAGTGTACATGTCGAGTCAAACATGGAGATAAGCTCATCAGCATTAAAAGCACAGTTCACATCTAATTTACAGATCGGAGAAGCATTAAAAACATCAGAGAACTGTGAGGCAGTCAAGGGGTTAATCGAACGCAGACGACGCGCCGGGGCACGTGATTCGACTCCTGCGGAAGGGATGTAGGTTGTAAACAGAACCGGTAAATGGTCTGAGATACGCGTTGCTGCACATATTTCATCCACAGATACAGACAGTCCAAACGATAATACTAAGTCCAAAGTGTGTCCTTTTCCGTGTGTTGGGCCACGGACTGAACGAGACCAAAGGAATCAAGGAGATTTAAAAAGTCCCTAACCAGAGGTTTGGACTCGCAACACACATGGACATTGAAGTCTCCGGAGATCAAAACACGATCATATTTCACCATGATCCCGGACAGAAAGTCAGAAAAGTCATTTATGAAATCCTTATTGCACTTTGGCGGACGATACACGACTGCGCAGAGTATAGGCGAGGCCGGGTTCAGTTCAAAAAGCTGCAACTCAAAGCTAGCATAGCTAGTTACAGGGTGAAGCATTGGAGGCTAGCTCTAAACACTGATGCTATGCCCCCACCATGGCCAGTGGCACGGGGGGAGCTGAAGAATGTACAGTCAGGAGGAAGAAGTTCAGAGAACGGTGTATACTCGCCAGCGTGGACCCAGGTCTCCGTCAGGAACATAAAATCCAGTTCACGAGAGGTGAAGAGGTCGTTTAGCAGGAACGTTTTGTTTGCTATCGACCTAGCATTTAGCAAAGCCATGCAAAGTTTTCGCTCCGGGCTTGCTGAAGGTGTAGTGCGTCTCAGCTGACGAAGATGTGCGTGTTGAACATGTTTATATTCTGTGTTTGAATGAACTGTGAAAGAGGAGCTCAGTATTTTATATTGTGTATTTTACAGATACTTATATATTTCTGGTGTTTATATTCATTGTTTTTCCCTCCTGTGTTATATTTATAAATATGTCTGTTGTTGTTGTTGTTGTTTTAACAGCTGATCTTTGTTGTTTTCTCTCCTCAGAGTTGTTTGCGTCTCCGGTTCTGATCCCAAAATGTAGTGACGTTTCATCTGGAGCGAGCGGGAAACACAAGGTGAGTCCGCTCTACTGCGGTCAGTGAACGCACCGTATCTCTGCCGCTTTACTGCGGTCAGTGAACGCACCGTATCTCTTCCGCTTTACTGCGGTCAGTGAACGCACCGTATCTCTGCCGCTTTACTGCGGTCAGTGAACGCACCGTATCTCTTCCGCTTTACTGCGGTCAGTGAACGCACCGTATCTCTTCCGCTTTACTGCGGTCAGTGAACGCACCGTATCTCTGCCGCTTTACTGCGGTCAGTGAACGCACCGTATCTCTGCCACTTTACTGCGGTCAGTGAACGCACCGTATCTCTGCCACTTTACTGCGGTCAGTGAACGCACCGTATCTCTGCCGCTTTACTGCGGTCAGTGAACGCACCGTATCTCTGCCACTTTACTGCGGTCAGTGAACGCACCGTATCTCTGCCACTTTACTGCGGTCAGTGAACGCACCGTATTCCGAAAAAAACAAATTTTCCAAAAAGTGAACATTTAGAAGTTTTGAGACAAAAGTGAAATTGAAAAAAAGTATTGTTTATTTTGTCACAGGGAGTTCTGTCTGACTCTGAGAACGAGGAGCCGCTGAGCCGGAAGATCAGGAACATCTCCGCCTTCATCCGGAAGACCAAACACTCTGCAGCCTGCATGGGGTCAGAGAACTACTGTTGTTGTTATTGTTATTATTATTGGTATTATTATCATTACTGACCAGCTGACGTGCGTTTCTTCTTCAGTGGTGCTCAGAGGAGTCAGAGCTGCAGCGACCCTCTGGAGGACCGAGCAGGGAAGCTGAAGGCTCTCCAGCCCCCCCTCATGGACAGAGTACGTAGCACACATGTACCTCAAATAATAATAATATAATATATAGAGTCCTGCAGGATGTGGTGTTTCTGTGTTGGTCCCTGAAGGCAGCATCTCTCTGGTCCAATGGGATTCCTCTGGTCTCAGACCCTAATAATCCCAATCCTTCGCCCACGTCTACTGTCATGACTTCGGCCCCTTTTTCTGTGCTTTTGCCCGTCGGTTTCCCTGTTTTCAGTTTGGCAGGGTGCCTTCTCTGGACTCTGTCTCTCAGGTGTTCATATATCTGATCTCACGTGTCTCTCCTGTCTCTCCTCAGGTGAGCCACAGCTTCACAGCAGGGATCCTCCTCGCGTCGGAGAACAGTCGCTGCTCATCGGCCCCCCCCCCCTCTGACAGGCGGTTGCCATGGCGACCCGTCCTCCTCCCGTCCTCCTCCCCCCCCATCCCTCCAGAACGCTCCGTTAGCCCCGATAGCAACGATAGCATCTCGGAGGAGCTGAACCACTTCAAACCCATCGAGTGTTCTCCGTGCACTCCTCCCAGACGCCTGGCTGACGGACGCCTGGTGATAACCTCCGTCGTGAAGTCCACCCCCAGGAACCTGAACCTGAACCAGAACCAGGACCAGAGCCTGAACCAGAACCAGGACCAGAGCCTGAGACCCAGCAGATACGAGGTTGGAGCCGCATTGATGCAGAAATGGAGGCAGATCGAACTGGACCGGCAGAAAATGAAGTTAAACGGCAATCTGAGCGGAGAGGAAACGCCCTCTGATCGGCACGGCAACAAGAGATCCCCCTCTGATCGGCCCGGCAACAAGAGGTTAGAGTCCCCCTCTGATCCGCCCGGCAACAAGAGGTTAGAGTTCGACTCTCAGGACGCCGTGCAGAGGAAGAAGATCCACATTCCTGCTGTCAAGGAGAGGCAAGTTCATACAGCAGGACTCATAATGCTGACTCACGTCAGGGTGTTAGGACTCATAATGCTGACTCATGTCAGGACTCATAATGCTGACTCACGTCAGGGTGTTAGGACTCATAATGCTGACTCATGTCAGGACTCATAATGCTGACTCATGTCAGGGTTAAGGACTCATAATGCTGACTCACGTCAGGGTGTTAGGACTCATAATGCTGACTCATGTCAGGGTTAAGGACTCATAATGCTGACTCACGTCAGGGTGTTAGGACTCATAATGCTGACTCATGTCAGGGTTAAGGACTCATAATGCTGACTCACGTTAGGGTGTTAGGACTCATAATGCTGACTCATGTCAGGGTTAGGACTCATAATGCTGACTCATGTCAGGGTTAAGGACTCATAATGCTGACTCACGTCAGGGTGTTAGGACTCATAATGCTGACTCATGTCAGGACTCATAATGCTGACTCACGTCAGGGTGTTAGGACTCATAATGCTGACTCATGTCAGGACTCATAATGCTGACTCACGTCAGGGTGTTAGGACTCATAATGCTGACTCATGTCAGGACTCATAATGCTGACTCATGTCAGGGTTAAGGACTCATAATGCTGACTCACGTCAGGGTGTTAGGACTCATAATGCTGACTCATGTCAGGGTTAAGGACTCATAATGCTGACTCACGTCAGGGTGTTAGGACTCATAATGCTGACTCATGTCAGGGTTAAGGACTCATAATGCTGACTCACGTCAGGGTGTTAGGACTCATAATGCTGACTCATGTCAGGGTTAGGACTCATAATGCTGACTCACGTCAGGGTGTTAGGACTCATAATGCTGACTCATGTCAGGGTTAAGGACTCATAATGCTGACTCACGTTAGGGTGTTAGGACTCATAATGCTGACTCATGTCAGGGTTAGGACTCATAATGCTGACTCATGTCAGGGTTAAGGACTCATAATGCTGACTCACGTCAGGGTGTTAGGACTCATAATGCTGACTCATGTCAGGACTCATAATGCTGACTCACGTCAGGGTGTTAGGACTCATAATGCTGACTCATGTCAGGACTCATAATGCTGACTCACGTCAGGGTGTTAGGACTCATAATGCTGACTCATGTCAGGACTCATAATGCTGACTCATGTCAGGGTTAAGGACTCATAATGCTGACTCACGTCAGGGTGTTAGGACTCATAATGCTGACTCATGTCAGGGTTAAGGACTCATAATGCTGACTCACGTCAGGGTGTTAGGACTCATAATGCTGACTCATGTCAGGGTTAAGGACTCATAATGCTGACTCACGTCAGGGTGTTAGGACTCATAATGCTGACTCATGTCAGGGTTAGGACTCATAATGCTGACTCATGTCAGGGTTAAGGACTCATAATGCTGACTCACGTCAGGGTGTTAGGACTCATAATGCTGACTCATGTCAGGGTTAAGGACTCATAATGCTGACTCACGTCAGGGTGTTAGGACTCATAATGCTGACTCATGTCAGGGTTAGGACTCATAATGCTGACTCATGTCAGGGTTAGGACTCATAATGCTGACTCACGTCAGGATGTTAGGACTCATAATGCTGACTCATGTCAGGACTCATAATGCTGACTCATGTCAGGGTTAAGGACTCATAATGCTGACTCACGTCAGGGTGTTAGGACTCATAATGCTGACTCATGTCAGGACTCATAATGCTGACTCACGTCAGGGTGTTAGGACTCATAATGCTGACTCACGTCAGGGTGTTAGGACTCATAATGCTGACTCATGTCAGGGTTTAGGACTCATAATGCTGACTCACGTCAGGGTGTTAGGACTCATAATGCTGACTCATGTCAGGGTTTAGGACTCATAATGCTGACTCATGTCAGGACTCATAATGCTGACTCACGTCAGGGTGTTAGGACTCATAATGCTGACTCATGTCAGGACTCATAATGCTGACTCGCGTCAGGGTGTTAGGACTCATAATGCTGACTCATGTCAGGACTCATAATGCTGACTCATGTCAGGGTTAAGGACTCATAATGCTGACTCACGTCAGGGTGTTAGGACTCATAATGCTGACTCATGTCAGGGTTAAGGACTCATAATGCTGACTCACGTCAGGGTGTTAGGACTCATAATGCTGACTCATGTCAGGGTTAAGGACTCATAATGCTGACTCACGTCAGGGTGTTAGGACTCATAATGCTGACTCATGTCAGGGTTAGGACTCATAATGCTGACTCATGTCAGGGTTAGGACTCATAATGCTGACTCATAATGCTGACTCACGTCAGGATGTTAGGACTCATAATGCTGACTCATGTCAGGACTCATAATGCTGACTCATGTCAGGGTTAAGGACTCATAATGCTGACTCACGTCAGGGTGTTAGGACTCATAATGCTGACTCATGTCAGGACTCATAATGCTGACTCACGTCAGGGTGTTAGGACTCATAATGCTGACTCATGTCAGGGTTTAGTACTCATAATGCTGACTCATGTCAGGGTTTAGGACTCATAATGCTGACTCACGTCAGGGTGTTAGGACTCATAATGCTGACTCATGTCAGGGTTTAGGACCCATAATGCTGACTCATGTCAGGACTCATAATGCTGACTCACGTCAGGGTGTTAGGACTCATAATGCTGACTCATGTCAGGACTCATAATGCTGACTCGCGTCAGGGTGTTAGGACTCATAATGCTGACTCATGTCAGGACTCATAATGCTGACTCATGTCAGGGTTAAGGACTCATAATGCTGACTCACGTCAGGGTGTTAGGACTCATAATGCTGACTCATGTCAGGGTTAAGGACTCATAATGCTGACTCACGTCAGGGTGTTAGGACTCATAATGCTGACTCATGTCAGGGTTAAGGACTCATAATGCTGACTCACGTCAGGGTGTTAGGACTCATAATGCTGACTCATGTCAGGGTTAGGACTCATAATGCTGACTCATAATGCTGACTCACGTCAGGATGTTAGGACTCATAATGCTGACTCATGTCAGGACTCATAATGCTGACTCATGTCAGGGTTAAGGACTCATAATGCTGACTCACGTCAGGGTGTTAGGACTCATAATGCTGACTCATGTCAGGACTCATAATGCTGACTCACGTCAGGGTGTTAGGACTCATAATGCTGACTCATGTCAGGGTTTAGGACTCATAATGCTGACTCATGTCAGGGTTTAGGACTCATAATGCTGACTCACGTCAGGGTGTTAGGACTCATAATGCTGACTCATGTCAGGGTTTAGGACTCATAATGCTGACTCATGTCAGGACTCATAATGATGACTCACGTCAGGGTGTTAGGACTCATAATGCTGACTCATGTCAGGGTTAAGGACTCATAATGCTAACTCATGTCAGGGTTTAGGACTCATAATGCTGACTCATGTCAGGGTTAGGACCCATAATGCTGACTCATGTCAGGGTTAGGACTCATAATGCTGACTCATGTCAGGATTAGGACTCATAATGCTGACTCACGTCAGGGTGTTAGGACTCATAATGCTGACTCATGTCAGGGTTTAGGACTCATAATGCTGACTCATGTCAGGACTCATAACGCTGACTCACGTTAGGGTGTTAGGACTCATAATGCTGACTCATGTCAGGGTTAAGGACTCATAATGCTGACTCATGTCAGGGTTTAGGACTCATAATGCTGACTCATGTCAGGGTTAGGACTCATAATGCTGACTCATGTCAGGACTCATAATGCTGACTCACGTCAGGGTGTTAGGACTCATAATGCTGACTCATGTCAGGACTCATAATGCTGACTCACGTCAGGGTGTTAGGACTCATAATGCTGACTCATGTCAGGGTTAAGGACTCATAATGCTGACTCACGTCAGGGTGTTAGGACTCATAATGCTGACTCATGTCAGGGTTAGGACTCATAATGCTGACTCATGTCAGGGTTAAGGACTCATAATGCTGACTCACGTCAGGGTGTTAGGACTCATAATGCTGACTCACGTCAGGGTGTTAGGACTCATAATGCTGACTCATGTCAGGGTTAAGGACTCATAATGCTGACTCACGTCAGGGTGTTAGGACTCATAATGCTGACTCATGTCAGGGTTAGGACTCATAATGCTGACTCATAATGCTGACTCACGTCAGGATGTTAGGACTCATAATGCTGACTCATGTCAGGACTCATAATGCTGACTCATGTCAGGGTTAAGGACTCATAATGCTGACTCACGTCAGGGTGTTAGGACTCATAATGCTGACTCATGTCAGGACTCATAATGCTGACTCACGTCAGGGTGTTAGGACTCATAATGCTGACTCATGTCAGGGTTTAGGACTCATAATGCTGACTCATGTCAGGGTTTAGGACTCATAATGCTGACTCACGTCAGGGTGTTAGGACTCATAATGCTGACTCATGTCAGGGTTTAGGACTCATAATGCTGACTCATGTCAGGACTCATAATGCTGACTCACGTCAGGGTGTTAGGACTCATAATGCTGACTCATGTCAGGACTCATAATGCTGACTCGCGTCAGGGTGTTAGGACTCATAATGCTGACTCATGTCAGGACTCATAATGCTGACTCATGTCAGGGTTAAGGACTCATAATGCTGACTCACGTCAGGGTGTTAGGACTCATAATGCTGACTCATGTCAGGGTTAAGGACTCATAATGCTGACTCACGTCAGGGTGTTAGGACTCATAATGCTGACTCATGTCAGGGTTTAGGACTCATAATGCTGACTCATGTCAGGACTCATAATGCTGACTCACGTCAGGGTGTTAGGACTCATAATGCTGACTCATGTCAGGGTTAAGGACTCATAATGCTAACTCATGTCAGGGTTTAGGACTCATAATGCTGACTCATGTCAGGGTTAGGACCCATAATGCTGACTCATGTCAGGGTTAGGACTCATAATGCTGACTCATGTCAGGATTAGGACTCATAATGCTGACTCACGTCAGGGTGTTAGGACTCATAATGCTGACTCATGTCAGGGTTTAGGACTCATAATGCTGACTCATGTCAGGACTCATAACGCTGACTCACGTCAGGGTGTTAGGACTCATAATGCTGACTCATGTCAGGGTTAAGGACTCATAATGCTGACTCATGTCAGGGTTTAGGACTCATAATGCTGACTCATGTCAGGGTTAGGACTCATAATGCTGACTCATGTCAGGGTTAGGACTCATAATGCTGACTCATGTCAGGGTTTAGGACTCATAATGCTGACTCACGTCAGGGTGTTAGGACTCATAATGCTGACTCATGTCAGGGTTTAGGACTCATAATGCTGACTCATGTCAGGACTCATAATGCTGACTCACGTCAGGGTGTTAGGACTCATAATGCTGACTCATGTCAGGGTTAAGGACTCATAATGCTGACTCATGTCAGGGTTTAGGACTCATAATGCTGACTCATGTCAGGGTTTGGACTCATAATGCTGACTCATGTCAGGGTTAGGACTCATAATGCTGACTCATGTCAGGGTTAGGACTCATAATGCTGACTCATGTCAGGACTCATAATGCTGACTCACGTCAGGGTGTTAGGACTCATAATGCTGACTCATGTCAGGACTCATAATGCTGACTCATGTCAGGGTTAAGGACTCATAATGCTGACTCACGTCAGGGTGTTAGGACTCATAATGCTGACTCATGTCAGGGTTTAGGACTCATAATGCTGACTCACGTCAGGGTGTTAGGACTCATAATGCTGACTCACGTCAGGGTTAAGGACTCATAATGCTGACTCATGTCAGGGTTAAGGACTCATAATGCTGACTCATGTCAGGGTTAGGACCCATAATGCTGACTCATGTCAGGGTTAGGACTCATAATGCTGACTCATGTCAGGATTAGGACTCATAATGCTGACTCACGTCAGGGTGTTAGGACTCATAATGCTGACTCATGTCAGGGTTTAGGACTCATAATGCTGACTCTTCTCATGTTAGGACTCATAATGCTGACTCGTCTCATGTTAGGACTCATAATGCTGACTCTTCTCATGTCAGGACTCATAACGCTGACTCTTCTCATGTTAGGACTCATAATGCTGACTCATGTCAGGACTCATAACGCTGACTCATGTCAGGGTTAAGGACTCATAATGCTGACTCACGTCAGGGTGTTAGGACTCATAATGCTGACTCATGTCAGGGTTAAGGACTCATAATGCTGACTCACGTCAGGGTGTTAGGACTCATAATGCTGACTCATGTCAGGGTTTAGGACTCATAATGCTGACTCATGTCAGGACTCATAATGCTGACTCACGTCAGGGTGTTAGGACTCATAATGCTGACTCATGTCAGGGTTAAGGACTCATAATGCTAACTCATGTCAGGGTTTAGGACTCATAATGCTGACTCATGTCAGGGTTAGGACCCATAATGCTGACTCATGTCAGGGTTAGGACTCATAATGCTGACTCGTGTCATGTTAGGACTCATAATGCTGACTCGTGTCATGTTAGGACTCATAACGCTGACTCGTGTCATGTTAGGACTCATAACGCTGACTCATGTCAGGACTCATAACGCTGACTCGTGTCATGTTAGGACTCATAATGCTGACTCATGTCAGGGTTAAGGACTCATAATGCTGACTCATGTCAGGGTTTAGGACTCATAATGCTGACTCATGTCAGGGTTAGGACTCATAATGCTGACTCATGTCAGGGTTTAGGACTCATAATGCTGACTCACGTCAGGGTGTTAGGACTCATAATGCTGACTCATGTCAGGGTTTAGGACTCATAATGCTGACTCATGTCAGGACTCATAATGCTGACTCACGTCAGGGTGTTAGGACTCATAATGCTGACTCATGTCAGGGTTAAGGACTCATAATGCTGACTCATGTCATGGTTTAGGACTCATAATGCTGACTCATGTCAGGGTTTGGACTCATAATGCTGACTCATGTCAGGGTTAGGACTCATAATGCTGACTCATGTCAGGGTTAGGACTCATAATGCTGACTCATGTCAGGACTCATAATGCTGACTCACGTCAGGGTGTTAGGACTCATAATGCTGACTCATGTCAGGACTCATAATGCTGACTCATGTCAGGGTTAAGGACTCATA